GAGGAGGAGGAATGAGGCTGCCAGGGCTCTCCGCCGCGAGAACGGGGAGCTCGGCCAGGCCCTCCCGGGCGCCGGGCCGCGCGCCCTCGCCGAGCCTCTGCGGCGGCGTTCCGCGCGATGGGAGCTCCCTGCGCGCAGGGGACCGCGCGCGGCGCACGGCGTGCTTTTGGCGGCGCGCGGCGTGCGTTGCGGCGCGCGGCGGGCGAGCGGCGTGGGCGCGCGGCTCGGCGGGGCGGCTGGCGCGGTGCAGCGGCGGAGCGCCGGCCGCCAGGGCACTCGGAATGTTCGGGGGCGGCAAAGAGAGGGGTGATGACTAGGGGGGGGACATCATGGCGTGGGCCATGATATTTCCCAAGATTTCATGGCGCCTCTTCTTATGTCATTACGTCCCTGACCCCCTCGCTGGGCCGCACACATGCCGCCGGTCATGATTTGCACCCCCCCCTCTTGGACACCCCCCTCTTGGCCGCTCCCGAAATGTCGCAGGCCTAGAGGCTAGCACCAACACCAATGTCGGCGGCGTGCCTCCACCGAGGAAAGAGGATCCCAATCTCGGCGATGGCGGCAAAATATTCAGGTTTCCTAGGTGGCCGAAAGATTGCCACTTCCTGCCATTTTTAGCAGGAGTCGCTGTCCGCGCCGAAGACAGAGCCGCCTGCCCAACAGCGGCCGCTGCGTTGGTCCTGGACAACATGTGTTGTTGAGAATTGTGCCCATTTTTTCCGTACCCATTTCAGGCGTCCACAGAAGAGGCGGCAACGCTGGATTGTTGACTGGTTCGCTCAATGGAGGGACGTTGTCCGCAATGCCCGTCGAGGGGAGGGATGAGGCGAGCTAGAGGGACAGAGCGAGAGACAGAGAGAGGGAGAGACATGATGAAGGGGAGCGCCAACCAGCACCAGCAGTGCGAGAAGATCGCCCGCGACCCGCGCGCGCGAGGCGGCTTTGTGGACGGGCTGGGTGCACCGCGGAGGGGCGGGGTGCGGGCAGGAGGCCACGTGCGAAGCCTGCCCCTCCCGCCCCACGATTTCTAAGGGGGGGGGGGGTGGGGCTCGATACTCGCTCGGGAGGTCCTGGAAGAAGTGCCCCCCCCCTTCCTTCAGAACTCGTGGGGTGGTGGGGCAGGCTTCGCACATTGGCCTCCTGGCAGGGAGACGGAGGGCGGGCAGCTTGCTGCGCGTGACCTGGCGGGGGGTGGGCGGGCGGGCGCCTCGCGTGTGCTGCAGTGCCTCGGCGGTCTCGCGCGCGGCCCTCCGGGGCTCCACGGGCTTTTCTGAGGAGGAGGAGGAGGAGGAGGAGGAGGAGGAGGAGGAGGAGGAGACCGAGGCGGGCGTGCTCCTCGAGCTCTGGCCCGTCAGGAAAGGACTCCGGGACGTTCCGTTGCCTCCGTGGGGGCCTCGCCTGCCCCCCAGCATCGCTGGCGTTGCCCGTGCCCGACGCGGGCCCGACGCGGGCCCGATGCGGACTCGACGCGGATCCGGCGCGGATGCGACACGGATTCGACACGGATTCGACGAGTCCGACACGGATTCGGCGCGGACTCGGCGCGGAGGGGGCCGCATCCGGGACGGGCGAGGCCCCCCGAGGATGCAACAGAAGGGACGGCACAAGAAGCACGTCCTCGGGGAGGGGTTGAGAGAGCTCCTGCACAGAAGCCGTCCCTGGACGGCGCACCGGCGGCCCACATGGTCGAGGCATCCTTGGAGCGCGCCTACTCATCACACAGCAGAAACGGCAGCACATCTGCCGTTGCTGGGGGGTGGCCGCGGACAGCTTCGGCCCAGTCTCTCGGAGCTCCCTAGGTATCCCGCGAGCGGCCCCATGCTCTGCTTTGCCTGGATATCGGCGGCCTAATTTCGGTATCTTTGGGGCGTCGAGGGGGGGGAGGAGCGTGTGTGTGTGTGTGTGTGTGTGTGTGCGTGTGTGCGTGTGTGCGTGTGTGCGTGTGTGCGTTTGTGTGTGTGCGTGCGTGCGTGTGCGTGTGTGTGTGTGTGTGATCCCCTTCTGCATGGTGACCAAATTCGCGCTTCGTGCATCCCTACAACGCCGCTTTCGCCAGCGCAGTGACTCTGTCTAACCGCCGACGCAAAGTGTGTGTGTGTGTGTGTTTGTGTGTGTTGTGTGTGTGTGTGTTGTGTGTGTGTGTGTGTGTATGTGTCTGCGTGCGTGTCTGCGTGCGTGCGTGGGTGGGTGGGTGGGTGAGTGTGTGTGTGTGTGTGCGTGTGTTTGTGTGTGTGTGCGTGTGTGTGTGTGTGCGTGACGTACGGAGTGATGCGGAATGATTTGATGCCATGGGCAGGACGGGAGACCTCCCAGTGCCAGAAGATCGCGTACCAGCGCGGGCGAAATTGCAAAATATGCACGACGAACGACTGCATTCCACACGATGGTACAGTAAAGCAGCCCGCTGGTTTTTGCTTGTTCCTTCTGTATTTGTTATGACTGTTGCTCCTGGTTGCTCGATCTTCGCTTCTCCTCTTTGCCCTACTCGTCCTCCTCC